CACCCAGGCTTGCAGAGGATGCTTGTGTGGGTGCTGGACCACCCAGCATCCTTGGGTCACCCAGGCTGCCGTGGGGTGCACACACAGAGAGGGGCGAAGCAGATCCAGCCTTCCCCCACCTCCCTCCCCCCAAGCTGCTCTCCCAAAAACCCAGCTCAAAACATCAGAGTTTCTTGGTGGAGACACAGCCACCGCAGCCCCACGAGTGTTTAGCGAGCTAAAAATTTGGCTTCATTTCTCCAGATGGGAGGAAAAAAGCAGCACATCGCAAGCCCAGCCAAAGCACTGCTATCGTCTGCCAAAGAAGCTGTGCTTGCTTGGGAGCAGACCAGACTTGGGCTAAGCCAGACTTAACTATAAGCTGCCTGCCTCCCTGCTGCAGCAAGGGCCGGGGAGCCAGCGAGAGCTCGCTTTCCAGCTCTGCAAGTCCCAAAATCTTTCAGCCGCGAGCTGGCCGGCGCAAGGGGGGAAGCACGAGGTCTTCTCCATTAATTGAGGGTCAGGTAGGTTGGATGGAGGTCTCTGGACCACCCCCTGCTCAGAGCAGGGCCAGCTTCAAAGTCAGATCCCACTGGCCAGACGGAGGCAAGGTTTTCATCAGCAAACCCCCCAAAAACCAGCATGCGGGCACACGTGCTTCCTCCCAGAGGGAAAAGCCCCAGTAATAACTCTGCCAGGAGCTCAGGTGTGCTACCTGCCCTCCATTGCAGCATCTCCTGGTGTCTCCACACCTATCTGCATGCAAGTTTTGGGAGCAGTCATCTGCAAGATGACTACTCCTTGGCTCAAATCCGGTGAAAAACAGCCAAGGAATTCAAGAACCATAGCAGGTACATGGACGGATAGACAAAGGTACGCACACCGGATCACATGAGTCTGTTTTCATAAGAAATCTGGCTCAAACACTCACCTGAACTGCCCCGCAATCATGGGGTTTAACCCTCACATTCCCGTGGGGTAGATCCCCCAAATTACGGCGGTGCGAAGAACACGGGTATGGATGTGGAGAAGCAAGCAGTACCAGGTCTGGGTCTAAAGCCTTGCAATGTATCATCTTGCGGAGAAACGCTTTAAAACAGCATCTGCCCGTTTCCAAGCCAGAGATGCCCCAAAGGACTCACGCACTGCCTACCACACCCAAGCATCCTCCCAAGAACACGCCGGGGACTGCTACGAAGGGAAAGCTACCTCCTCCGCACGCCTTGGAGCACGGAGACCAGCTCTTGAGGGCCCACTCGTAGGAATCCATCTCCTCAAGCAGGACATTGTTGTTTCCAATCATGGGCAGCAGGTCTTCGTGGATGATGTACCGGTACATCAGGCTGCTCCTCACCTCCTCCTCCTGAGGGATGACCTGCAGGTAGAGAGAGGAAAATGGGAGAGGGCGAAGGAGAGGAAGGAGTGATGCCATGGGAGAGGGAAGGGAAGAGGAGGTCATCAAAGGAAAAAAAAAAGTGAATAATGACCACATGGTACGGTACACACAAGACTAGGAGAAGAAAACCCCGTTACTACCTCCAACGTGATTTAGTGGGCTCTGAACACAGAGTCTACCCTTTGGGAATGTACCTCTCCAAACATCCCAACTCCAGCCTCAGGTTGCTCGCCCCTGGCCTCTCCTCTGACCTGCAGGACCACAGTCTGTGCCCAAAGCCACGGGGATGGAGGGGAGGGTGGACCTACCCTTCCCTAGGTGCCCAGGGAACCCAGTCCCTAACTCCCCCAAATACCCGTAGAACTAAAATGAGACACGGATTTTGCTGCGCAGAGCACAATACAGTTGGACTCAAAGGCAAGCACCCGAGCAACGCGTCCTTATGCCATTCTTGCACGCAGCTCATTGCCCCTTGCGTTTGGCCAGCTCATTTCCCTGGTTTTAATGACATGCCTTACATCCTTTCTCTACCAAAGTCCTTCCATCACCTCCCACAGCCCCTCTCGGACCACCTTCCCTCTCTGTACCGCTGGGTGATGGCCATCCCAACGCCCCGAGGATGGGTCAACCAGGCTTACCAAAACGCTGATGGCCTCGTGCAGAGGACCGCTGGTTTTCAGGCTCTCCTTGCCATGTTCAATGGTGTATTCCCACTCCAAGCCCATCTCAATGAACACCTGGCTTTTGGCTTCTTTGCTCTTGGCGTTAAGGATGAAGTTACCCGTGGCTTGGTTCTTAACAGCTGGAGGAGAAAGGAGGTGTTTCAACGTCATTTCCTCGGGTCACTGCCTTTGAAGGACTGGAATGACCCAAATAAGACCCTTTGGGTGGGAATTGTCAGAATAGGGCCGAGAAAGAGGTAGCAGGTGGAGAGGTGAACTACGGTGTACTCACCGATGCTGTGGGATGCCGGCTCCATCTCTTCTATCTGAAGGTGCCTCGCCCCAGCTGGAATCTCAAACATCTTCAAAACACCTGCTGAAAGGGAGGGAGGAGGGATGGAAGGAAGAGAAAAAGAGGGTTGGCTCCAACCGGACATGCACCCGCTCGCACCTACGCGTGAATCCAGCCGACCCTGCCCGAACCCGCTCCCATTCAGCCCCCTCACCCGGCTGCTTGGGGGTTTTGGCCAGCGTGCCCTTCACCGTCCGGCAGTGGGAGTTGTCTCCTCCACAGACCCCACACTTGTCATCCTGCTTCAGGGAGCCGACCTCCTTGTCGCAGCCGACGTGCTGTCACCCGTGGGGAAGAGAAGAGAAGCACGAGGTTACATCCCTGCGGCCCATCCCATCGCTCCGCCATCCCCATAGCCCTTTGCTCCACACGGGGTGGGGTCCCCGGGCTGAAACATGTGTCCCCAAGGGGCAGTGGGTCAAGGGGATGCCCAAGCTCTCTCCTGGACAGGTAAAGGACAGGGACAGTTGCACAGCACAAGTCCTCACCAGGCACTCGCCCCGGACGCAGACGCTGTAGGGGTCTCGGTAGCTGCACCGGGTACCATCGTGAACAACCTGATTCATGAACACCACGTCCCCCGTTCCCTCGGACTGGCAGATCAGCTCACACTTCTGAGCATCTGCGGCAAAAGAAAAAGTAAAGGGGGAAAAAGGGG